ATATATATATATATATATATATATATATACTACTATTATAAAAGAGTCTTGAGTTTCCTTCCTCCCGTAAATTTTATTCATCCATTATACTTATTTTTTAATTATCTTGCTCGTCCATTATATTAAAAATATTTAATAAATCAAAAAATTCACATCTATACTATCTATACTATTATATCTATACTACTATATAAAAGTGGCTTGGGATTCCACCCATAGTAAATTTTGATCGTTCATCTATAAATTTTAAAGTAATCTACAACGTTCATATATAACTCTTCAAATTCTATCATTTATTACTTCCTATAAAATATTTATTTATTGCCATTATTTTAAAATAAATATAATTTGTTGCTCCAATCAAAATTATAATTATATAATTAAATGCTCTTTATATGAATCCATTCTAAATTAATTTTAAATCTTACAAACGTTTTAATTTCTCGTCCGCTCTCTTAAAATTAATTGCTCCCTTTGCAACCTTTCATATTCCAAATAGTGAAATTGCAGCATCTAATCCAAAGAATGTGAAACGATATGCGGCAGCCAACTGACAGCCTGCCATCACCTGATAAACTTGGAGGAAGACAAAACGCACTACCATTCGCACACATATTTAAGTCGGAGGAATGTAAAAAGATGGCCAAGCTGATCGTCTTCCTCATGTTCTGCAATCAGTTACCATAAACAGAATTAAGTGTAAGCCACTCTAATAAATTTTCAACTACGGTCCTCTCGGCTTCCTCAGACCTCTCCGCCTCATTTCGAAATCGGTTCGTCCACTTATTTTTATTATATATAATACTTGTGAATCTTCTTCTCCTGCATCATCATCTTCAACCTGCAAGAGAAAACGGAGCAGAGAAACAGTGAAGAAAATAAGAGTATGAACAGTATTCTGAAAACCTTTCTTACTATCATTCATTGTCCTTCATACAGTATATATATAATGGCTGAATAGATACTAGCCATTGGATCAAGCCGTTAGGCATTCACGACTGAGATTAAAAGGTCTTGTATGTGCAGGTCTGCTGTAGCAGAGAAGTGGAAAAATGCTTAAGCTAGACGGCTGTTGTAGTATAAGCTGACTAGCTTATAGCGTGTGCTTATATATAATACTGTCGTTTGTGCAGAGGAAACCAATCAAATTTCCCCTTTCTAAAATCTAATTTATTCCTCTTCTTCTTCTCAGATCTATATTTTTCTTAATTATTTCTTTTCAGTTACCTGTGAATAGATTTGATGAGTAAGAATCAGAAAGAAATTATTGGTTTACCTTTCTTAGCATCACAAAGAGTAGAGAGACTCCATCGACGACAGTTCGTTCCTCCATCTCTGAATAATTAAACAGTTAATCTCTCCCCTTGGTTCTCTAAACAGCTTTTTTGTTTGAAATTAAGTAGGATTAGGATAGTTTAGTTACGTGTCAATACTAATGCAGCTTTCTTATAGATCATAAATTTAGCTTTTTTTGTTTAATTTCTCCTGTTCTGTAATTATCTTTTTAGCTTGAAATAAAGGAGGGTTATGATGGTTTAATCATGTGTTAATACTAATCTGCCCTTCCTATGGATTACAATTAGCTCTTTGTTTATTTATTCTCTGGGTGATTAAGAGATTAATATCCTTTTCTTGTTCTCTAAGTTTTTTGTTTACGATTATTGACAGGATTAGAATTTATTGTTATCAAATCATTGCTACAAAAATTTTTTATAAGGATTTAAATTGATAAAGCTACCGATCCCAACTGCTATCAAATTTTCTTACAATTTCTTCTCATTAAGCATATTGTCTCCTCTTTTTAGCATTTCATGTCAATTTTTTCCTTCAATTGAAATGGTTAATATGGCATCTGAAACTAAAGAACCTTATTTTAAACTCCTCTAGCATAAAGCTAATTTGCTATTTGTTATCTACCAAGCAAAAAAAAAAAAAAAAACTTCTTTCCAAGATCAATGGAAGATCCATGAATTAAGTCTTTCTACTGTGATAACTCCCTTCGATATTTCTTGATAAATATGTTTCAATATTTTTAATAAGAGGTAATTTATATTCTCTTATTGATTCGATATACAAAAACATGCATAATGGTTATACTTTCATCTTTTAAGTTTTTTTTTCCTGAGGGGCTCGGTATTGCTAGGTATTTGCTCGGTATTGCTAGAAAAAACTAGGTACAACTCAGTATTTGCTCGGTATTGCTAAGGATTTGCTCGGT